TTGGCTGTTCTGAATCAAAGACTGTAAGTACGTCTTTTATATTTAAAGAGTTCTGAAATGTTATATGATTCAAACGCGAGTTTTGAGCAGTGTAGAGTAGCACTTGTTGTTTGACATTTCTCCGATCACAAATGCAGACATGGTTTTATGTTTACGCGGCGCGATGCAATGCAACACGTAAAAAGACGGTATAAGTCATTATAATCCGCAATTATGTCCCCATTGGATGCAACAAATGCCTCGTTTGTAATGGGTTTTATTGGTTTTGTCTCATCGTGCTGGGAGACGGCATCAACATTATGGTGAGGGGCATAACATTTCCGTCACACACTTGAGGTATTCGGCCAATCACAACGCACTGGATAGCTGGCCAATCATAGCACAAAAATCGACGCGTTTCAGAAAGGCGGGGCATAGAGGAGAAACAATAATGTACAGTATGTGGAAAATAATGTGTTTTTTTCTTTTACCTTAAACCGCATAAACACATTGCATTACACCAAATACACAAAATAATGTTCTTTTTAGCAGCATCATATGACCCCTTTAATTACTTTTGAAAAAACTTTCTCTTTTTTTTACTTTTCTAGTTAAAATACCTAAATATATGAAATGAGGAACATTTACTTTAGAAGCAACACTTCATTAGAAATTAAGACTAGTTTTTCATAGTTTGTATGTTGCATATGTGCATTTTGTGTTCAACAGATTTTTTTTCCACTTATTTTTAACTTGTTTATAAGTGAAGAAATCTGACAATTACTAAAACAAAATTATGGAAGCTTATTTCCACCACAAAGTAAAAAAAAAAGAGACTTTTTATATCACAATTTTTTACTTTTTTCTCTCAGTTTTGACTTTATTTCCTCAAAATTGTAAGATATAAAGTAATTTTTTGAAAAATTTTTCTGCGAGATATAAACTCGAGATATAAGAATTGCATAAAGCATAAGAACTCGTAATTTCTTAAAAGAGAAAACAGAATTGTGAGATATAAACATAAATGGGAGCGCAAAAGTCAGAATTGTTGCATTGACCTTTATTTTTTTATTTTGTGGCTAAAGCAAGCTTGTCTTTTTTTTTTTTTTTGTTCTTGTAAGACCAAATCTCACAATTTGGACGTTTCTTCTAAGAATTGCGAGATTAAAAGTCGCAATTACCTTTTTTTTATTTTTTTTGTTCTGTGGCGGTAATAAACTTCCATACAAAATACATTTGCATTAATAAAGATGCTTTCTCTGAAAACAATTCGTAATATCTAATGCAGTGTTGCTTCTCAACTAAATGTTTTTGTTTTATGGATTCTTAGATATTTTAACTGAAAAACAAGAACAATATATGCTTATTACGAAGAGGTTTTTTTTTTTAAGTGTGGAAAATTGCATAAAAGGCTTTTTTTTACCTTCAATACAGAAATACATCCATAAAAATTATTCGCTGTATATGTGCTGTATATATTTGATTTTTTTAATTGTGTTGTGGTGTGGCATTAGCTTAGCAACATGTTAATGTTAGGCTCTGTTGGAATCAGTTGAAGAGTCACAGTGTTGTTGCCTATATAGAATGTTCCAAAAAGGTTCCATTTCATTTCGAATGCTCCCTATGTAGGTAGTAGATTAGCAAAGCAGAGTTGTTTTTTAGATGCATGTTTGTTCTAATTCTTCAAACTAAATCTGAAATTTGCCAGGCTGACACACTCCCTTACTTCTATCCCAGGAATGTTCGACTTACTCTGAAACATGAGGTGTCTGTCAGAGATAAATCGAGCTCTATTCTTTCCCCCAGGTGGCGCTTCATGTTTTTTCTCCCCCAGAAGAGTTAACCTGGCTGGTCTTTTTCAGGCCAGCTCAAAATGAGCCGTAATGATGAAGCTGTTTTTGTGGTCGCTGAGTTTATGCATGCCTTGGAGTTTTATTGATTCTGGTTATGGTCAAACGCCAAGTTAGGAGGATGGCCTACTTTCACCCATCTGAGAAACCAGGCTGGAAAAGTTTAAACGCATCCACTGCTCATTTTACAGACATTTTGGTTTACATTGTTTACCAGCAAATTCAGCTAGTATTATTTTATTTGCTTTATTTTTACTGATATTTTTACTTTTATGTTTATTTTTACTGCTATTTTATAAAATGTATTTTTGAATGTTTATTTCATTTAATTTATTTTTAATTTACAAAAGAAGCCGTACTTTGGGATATTTTGTTGACCCCTGCATGGTTTGGTTTTGATCTTGGATAAAAATGTTAGTCTCAATCGATGTCCCATTATGTCAAACCATCAGAAAATAGTCCATTCATTCACGAGGACTTTCCAGAGTAACTTAATTTCGCTCAATATAAGCTGACAGCTGTTTAAGACACTTGGCTCTCGCCTTCCCAGGAAATAACTTGCATCCTCAAATTTACAGTTCGAACAAGCGTACAGTGTTCTGCATCGTTTGTTCCGCCACATAGTAATAACTCTGCCAAAAAAAAAATTCGGTAATCTATAAATGAAATAAACAGCGTTGGATAAGCTTAGATTGGTAGGTCAGATTTAGGTTCTTCAAGAAACCCTTGGGAGCATGTGGCCTGTTAGGGCTCCTTTCAAAGTGGCATTCACAAAGCATCGTACTTCTGAAATGTGACTTATTTCTGAGTGAATGCAGGACAGGACTTCATTTCCATGGGAATTTGATTTGCATTTCCATAGGAAATTGACTGGAACGTGAAAGTGTATTACATTTTATTAAAATGACCAAAACAATTGAATTTTAATTTGGAGTGTGCATTAAGAAAGTGCATTTTGATGTTGACTTTAATAGATAATTTTTTTGTGATGGAATTATTTTAATGATAGAAAACGTCATTAAAGGGATAGTTTGGAATATTCGATTGTCATTTTTCCTACAGGTTATGATTTACACATCAAAAGCATTAAGAAATCAACCGAAGGCCGGTATTATAAGTGCCGTGTGCAAAATGAGATTCACTCTGTTTGTATGTTGAGCAACTTTGCTGCTTGCAGAGTTGAGTTATTTCCTCTTTCCTTGCTAACTACAAAGCATTGTTTTCTTAATGAGTGTTTTTCTTGTTTTTATGTTAAAATATATTGTTTTATATACTTAAAGATAGAATAATTTAAAGCAAAGTTGTGTTAAATATTAAGATTTTTTTTCTGATATGAGCAAATTCCTTAGTAAATTTTGCTTGATTTATGCTTGAAGCAAGAATATTTTAATTATATAAAGAATATTTTTATTATTTTAGTATATATTCCCTAAAAAGTCTTAATATTAATAATGCAATTTTTGCTTGCGAAAATGTGTCTTCTTTTAAAGATATTCTTTTTTTTGTCTTGTTTTACAATAAAAACATTTATGCAAATTTTCTCCATGGAATGACCATAAACCATGTGACTATAGTGCTTTCTAACTCTTTATTTTGCTATGCAGGGATGCAGTTGCCATGCCGATATTGACACCTATGATGTAGCAGCTGTGGCTTTGTACTGTATATTTATAGAGATGTGCTGTCTATTCACAACAGATTCACAGCAACACACTAACTCTAACTGTAACCATGGTTTCCTGTTAGACGTAGCTACACAGATGCAATTTCCACTCGTGATCAGAGTGTATTGCAGGGACACGCTTTAGGCAGATTAAATAAAGGAGCTGTTTAGTCTGTGTCAGACGCCATGAGTAATAAGGTCAGATGGAGAGCTGCAGGCCTGAGAAATAAGGGATAGGGGCGATATGTTCGTCCAAAGAGCACCGGTAATGGCACCTTATCTCAGTTTTTTAATTAAATTCCGAAGTTCTTGTTTACAGATGATCGATCTAATTAAGATGAATGAGACTGGCTGGGACTTGTTCCAGAACAAAAAGTGAAAGGTTAATAGTAAGAAACAAAGCAGGCCAGTATGAAATCTGGGACTGCAATATCTAATCAATAAAATCAATGGAAATTGTTGTTGACATATGTCATTATTGGCTGGTTGGCTCTATGTGCTCTCAAGGACTACCTTTCTCAGTAAATGTCACTTTGCAGCACTGAAAATCTGGGCTTGGAACAAAAATGCATTCATAAAATGGCCACCAGGTGATCGATCCGCAATGATGAGTTATCCAAAGAAATGGAGTGATTTGTATTAAATGCTTTAAAAAAGGCCAGAAATGTGTTGTTTCATGTGTGCAGGCTAGTGTTTAATGTGGTTCAGAAGTGTTTTTGTACAAGTATGTACCTTATTTTACTGTAATATTCCTATTTGTTTTAAATTAAACAAAATAACGATTAATCGGATAAATAATTGATTAATCACTCATGTTAGTTGCAGGCCTAATTCTTTGGTAGTCTGTACCTTATTTTACTGCAGTATTCCTATTTGTATGTTTTAAATTAAAGTGAGTATTTTGCAAAATAGTGATTAATCAAAGAAATGATCGATTAATCACTCATGTTAGTTGCAGGCCTAATTCTTTGCGTCCTCTTTTTCCAGGTGCTAGATGGTGGTTGTGAAGGCAGTACGTAATGCTGAAGGGGCTCGTCCTGAGTCAGAATGAGTGTCAAAGATGGCGATGGGACGACTAGCCAAGATGGAAAGGCCTACGAGCTTCAGATCTACCCCCGACTCTCTCTGGAGACGGTGTCGTGCTGTACACTCAGAGTCACCAAGGAGGCCACCGCAGCTAGCGTCATACAGGATGCGGCAGCGACCCTTGGACTGGACACCAGAAAGCTATACGTCCTGGCCGAGGTGAAGGAGTGCGGTGGGGAGGAGTGGGTGCTGGAATCGACCGATCTTCCCGTGCACAGGGTCCTTCTCTGGCCGAGAAAAGCCCAGGAGCAACATTCTCAGAAAGAGGGATTTTACTTCCTCCTGCAGGAGCGCAACCGCGATGGCTCCATCCGCTACGTGCACCTGCCCGCCGAGGGGAACGAGCAGGAGTCCAAGCGACTAGTTGCTCGGGGTTTCCTTCCACCCCAGCAGGAGGACATTGAGGACCTCTGTAACCTTCCTGTCCTAAGTGAGGACAGCATCTTGGATAACCTCCGCATTCGTTTTCAGAAGAAGAAAATTTATACATACGCTGGCAGTATCCTCATTGCCATCAATCCCTTTAAGTTCTTACCCATTTACAACCCCAAATACGTCAAAATGTACGAGAACCACCAGTTGGGCAAGCTGGAACCCCATATTTTCGCCATTGCCGATGTAGCCTACTACGCCATGTTGCGCAAGCACGTCAACCAGTGTATTGTTATCTCAGGAGAGAGCGGATCGGGCAAAACGCAAAGCACTAACTTCCTCATTCACTGCTTGACGGCTCTCAGCCAGAAGGGTTACGCAAGCGGAGTGGAACGAACCATTTTGGGTGCTGGACCAGTGCTGGAGGTAAGATCATCACCACCTTGATGCAAACTTGGTTTGGTTAAATGATTGGTGTCATTCGCGAAGGAGTTCTGGAATAGTAGATTCGTTCTGGGACTTACTTTGACATGGGATAATTTTAGTTTTTTTTTTTTCTGAAAGTACCGACTTGCTCTTGGATAGATTCTGAGCTTGAGTCTCTAGAATTTTGAAACCTTTGAGATGCTGTTTTAGTGTATTGAAAAGGTAAAGGTAAAAGAAGTTAGCTGATGGATTTGCAGTTCGCAGTTGTCAACTGTAGACCTTGTCAATCCCCAAAAAATTGTAATGGTATGTAAGAACTTTTTTGTTAGTGTTGGGTGTCTGTGCAGTATTTTATATTTTTTGAGCATTGTGCATTAGATTTGTGTTATGACTTTGACCCATTGGAGACGCATTTTTTGTAATTGTAGGATCTGGAAAAGCACTCTGCTTTGAACATTCACAAGGCAGGCCTAGAATAATTGAATTCAGGATCAGTAGATTTGTTGGAGGACTTACTGGGACATGGGATAGTTGATAACTATTTCTCATTAGAGTTTTGAAACCTTTCACATGTTTTTGTGTAGTTACTGAGATGGTTAAGATAAAGGAAGTCCGTTGATGGGTTTGCAGTTGTCAACCTTAGAACTGGTCAACCCCAAAAAATTTTAATATTATGTAAGAACCCTACATTTGATTGTCAGTCTTGGGTGTTTGTGTGGTATCTTTATTTGAGCATTATGCATTAGTTTCTTCAAATCTTTGGAGGCTTTCTTCTACAAAGTAGCTCTTTGGTTGGAATTGTAGGGTCTGGAAATCACTCTACTTTAAACAATGCTTGTAACAACCATAATGACAGCTTATTCATAGATCTCTCAGTCTTCACTGTAAACTGTGGCTCTTTGGATCAGTTATTTACAGAGCGTTTTCCCACAAGCCTGTGCTTGAAATGTGGGGTCACAACTTGCTGTACTTGCATAGCTCATGCTGCAGTACCGGCTAACCTACATCTGGAGGCTTTCCTCAGGGGGCCGTGTCTCATGCAGTTCTTGTTGTTTTATGTCTCTTGCTTTAAAATTATAGCTCGGTCCTATAAACCTGTTCAGGCACATTCTGTTATTTTGCAAAATATCAGTAGTAACCTTTCCCCAACTCTGATCTCACGGGGGTTTATGGTAGTGGTAACTCTTGTGCTGGGAAAAACTAACCTTCGAGATCCGAGTGCATTTGGGGAATGGTTAGAGTGGATGTTGCGAGATTTTCACAACTCAAGGGTTATCATCTAAAGAGTCTTGTTAAAGTCCTTCTTCTCAAAATTTCACGGTTGCATTCAAGTGCTATCTTTGAAGTTCTCAGTCAGACAAAACCAACCCACTCTGCTTCTGAGATTCACATCACTTCTTAGTACTGCAGAAGTTTCCTCTACACATGATGTCATTAGAAAACCATTGGTGTCATTTCTTATCTCAGCCCCCTTTATCAGAGTATGTGTCCTAAAAGAGATGAAAGATGGCAGGTTTTGTGTTGACGTTTACCCCAGTGTTTGTGGTTTCTGAAAACTGGAAGTCATTTCTCCGCAGTCAGCACAGTCATTGTTTCTTGGCAGACGCGTCTTTAGGCTTTGTTACAAAATATTCCCCATGTCTCTGCACTTGTGGTGAGAAGCATTCTGTGAAACTGGTCAGTTGAACATTGAGACCAGAATGAGGCTCCATCCAGACGTTTTCAATGATAGGAGTCAGAGCTCCCTGAGGCTTCTCTTCCTTTTATGGTCTCATGAAGTTAATTTGTCTCATCCATCTTCCAAGACTTTCAATTGGTACTGATGTTTAAGAAAGGACCCAATATTCCTTTTATTATTCTCTGCATTGTATTAGAGAGAAATGTTTCCATATGTGAGTCAATGCAAAGTTCCTCCTCGTCCAACTTTCAGAATAGTGATTTTTTTGTTTTGTTGTTATTTTGACTGCTTGACTCATGTCTCGTTTCCAAACTTTTGAACCAAAAGTTACCACCATCACTTTCTTCTACCGAAGTTACAACTGTGGAATAGTTTAAGGGATAGTTCACCCAAAAATGAAAATTCTGTCATTAATTGCTCAATTAATTAACTATCCCTGTTTTAATTGTCACCTACCGAGGCACCTCACCCAGTAGCAACTAGTTTTGTCTAGGTTTTGCTTTGAACTGTATTAAAGCAAATTCATGGACTGTGACTCAATGTAAACTGTAATTTTACAGTCCTTTCTTTTTAAAGCTGCACGTTATTGTCTCCGTTTCAACTTGCATGATGTAAACAGAGATGTTTGGCACCTGTTGTCGTTGACCAACACGTCAGACCGGTTTCGGGCACCTTTTCACCGAACTACTCTCTTTCGTAATACAACGGTATTGCTTTGTTTGAATGCATATTTCACCTTCATTGCATGCAGAAAAACATCTACGACGAGTAAACTGTGCTATTTGACCTAATAATGTGGTATGCTCTTCTTGAAAGTGCCCTACAGGAGAACAGTTGGGAATCCAGCAAGCCAAAAATGTGGTTTTCGTCCAGAACCAAATGGCTTTTATGGATTACGGCATTGAGTATCAGATAACAGGAGAGTTTGGAGACTCTGGAAATGCCATTGAGCTCTTGCTTTTTTCCACAATGGCTCTGCAAACACCTTTGCTTTCTGTTTTCAGATGTTTCTGTGCAACAATTTGGCTTTCGATCACACACAGTGCTCATATTTATACATACAGTACATGTGAGTCCTCTGAAGTAATACTTCTGCTGCCCGCAGACAGGAACTTCCCTCTGGCTGATCACTTCAACAGGAAGCTGTTTTTTTTTCAACAGGAAGTGGTAGCTGTAGAGGCTTCGTTCCCCATTGGCCGGTCTGCTCACTGGGTGTTGAGCGTCGGCGTACTGTTCCTCAGGAAGCTCTAATGGCTATTTCGTGGCCATTGTTTATCTCCCGGCTTTGTGTTAGTCTTGTGTGGTGGACTTTGGCTCCTGAGACGGTCTGAGCTATTTTTGGTGGGACGACTGTAATGACACACGTGGAAAAGTGTACAATAAAATGACCCAAGAGTCCATTCTGCCATTACAGGCGCTGTGGAGACCTAATAATCTCGATCGTCTCCAGTTTCCAGCAACCTGGATAGATACTGTCTGTTTATTTAAAGACCTGAATGCATTCACAGGCCTTTAAACTGTAGCCAAACACCAAATGTCTAACTTGGAGAGTTCAGATCTTATTTGAGTTTATTAGAGTGATTTCTGAACTGCTGCACTTTTCATTCCCTAAAAGCAGTTAGCGCTAATGCTAGGGCAGCCATTGCTATTTTTGTCATAGTACTTGTAGTTAGGAATTTTTTTCCAGATAATGTAGCTTGATTGTTGTTGTGAGCTAATGAAATGGTGCCTCGTTCTGCTTGAAGGTCATTTGTTGACATGCTATTGTGCCGGCGATCTCAATTAGCGCTAGTACACGCTGTCACCAGCTAACCCGATATCGTAACGCCGAACAAAACCACCCCAAGTCTTCCTTTTGTGTTCACGCTGAAGACTCGGAAAATGAAGTCACTCAGCTCACTTGAGATGGCCCGATGTTTGTGCTCGATGGCTCCGAGGCCATGAATAAAAGGAGAAGCAGCTATATTTAACAGTCATGTGAGCGTCCCATAGTGTTATTTTTGAGTAATAGGATTCTACTGGCCTTTTTAATGAAATGGCTTTGAGAAAAGGGCCTTTGTTGATTCGAGATGCATTGTATGGATGGCTCAGATTTCAGTGGCTGTCAAACCGATGGGTGAACTGTGTGTGTGTGTGTGTGTGTGTGTGTGTGTGTCCTCCTCCCTCCCACTCTCGCTCCACGTCTCTGCCACACGGAATTCATTACTCCTCTATTTGCAAGTTATTCCGCTCGAATGGGAATTGCCGTAGTAGCCCGTCCCCTCGGACAAAGAAATTGCGTGAAATTGCACAATAACTCAGGGATTGGAAACATGTTTTTTTTCTGTTTTATTGAGTGGATTTTGTTGTGTCAGGAATTGCTCTCTCCCTCTCTATGTAACCGTAACCAGAAACAGTTTCTTCTTGTAGCCATTTTCAAACAATGCACATATAAGCCACGAGAGGCTTTCATGCACTGCGTTAAATACACCAGTGTGCAATACTGTAATTGTATAATGTGACATATATAATATGATCTGGCTTGTAAGGAAACCTATTTGCTCAAATTAATCAGTAAATGGAATCATATGATTAATTAAATTGCCTGAACTTAGCAATTTGCTTATATGAATCAGTGTTTTGAACTGTTATTCAATGGAATTGTTCGAATGATGCAATTTGCTCATATGAATCAACTGCTTGATTTAGGTAAACCATCCAAAAAATCGTATTTGTTCAGTTAAATTGGTGTTTTGAACTGATTTAGTCAATTTATCCTTCTTTACAAACCTATTTGCTGAAATGAATCAATATTTTGAAACTGAACATCTAAAGTGTGTGTGTGTGTGTATATAAAGGAGCGGCCTTATGCTGCGTGTTTAATGTGGCTGTTTATAGCTATACACAGTTGTTTTGTGATCTAAATACTATGTGTACATTAGTACATTTGTACATTAGAATATATGTTAGTATGTTATGTATCTGTTTATTTTGTAAAAATATATTATGTTTATAATATATCTAAATCAATTGTTTATTATGTGCAATATTGTAATATAATATTTAAGCAATATATGGTACAATTTTAAATAATGTATTTTCTTATTAGTAGTAGTATTTAAACAGTATTTAAACACACACACACATGCATGTGTATATATGTAATATAAATAATTTATAGTAATTTAATTGTATAATTTATGTAAAAATATGTACATTTGTATTTATATACAGGATATACAATAAAATATTGTTATACTAAAATATTATAAAGAATTTAAGTATTTATTGAATCTAAATTAACATTTTCATGTGTATACATCTAATATAAATAATATTGAAATATACATAAATATATAATTTATATGCATTAATTATTTCTTTATAAATAAATGTATTATATTTACTTATTTGTTTTGCATTTAAGTCTTCATATAAACATACTTTGTGTTTATATGTAATAAAAATGTGTAAAATAATTTCAAATAATTTTATAATTTTTGTATATATATATATATATACACTAAATATAAATATTTTTATTATGTATTAGTGTGTGTGTATATAGTATGATGTAATATTTTTAGTGCTGTCAAATTATTAATCGCGATTAATCACATCCAAAATAAATGTTTTTGTTTATGTAATATATGTGTGTGTACTGTATATATTTATTATGTGTATATAAATACACACACATGCATGTACATATTTAAGAACATTTTTATATTTCTATATTAAATATATTTCTATATAATATAAATATATACATGTAAATACATGTAAATATTTTTTAAATATATACCGTATGTGTGTGTATTTATATACACATAATAAATATACACATCACACTAGGGGTGTGCGATATATATCGTCTGCGATAATATCGTAATTGTTGTTTTAACGATGTGCTATGTAAACTATGTAAACAAAAACTTTTATTTTGGATGCGATTAATCGCGATTAATCGTTTGACAGCACTAAATATTTTATATGATTTTATAATAATCGAATGATTATTTTTTAAATAGTTAATAGAATTATATCTTTTAAATTATAAATGAATCCATTAGAAATTATTATAGTAATATTAATATTTATTGGCATTTAAATTTTAATATATTTTGTAATATACATAATTTGTAAAAATAAAAAAAGTTAATAGATTTTGTCATTGATATCAATATTTAATTAAATATGCATAAATGTTTTTAGTGTATATATAATTAGTGTATACAGCTATAAGCTATAATAATATAATAATTTTATAATGATTTTTTCTAATTTAAAATGGTTTAATTATAAATTAATTAAATTAGTATATTAATACTAATATTTATATATCAGTATTTAATAGCAATATGTAGTTTCACATGCTGCTGCTGTTGTTTTAGTGTTGGAGTTTTCCGAGCGACTCGAAGCGTCATGTGTTTTGATGCCGCTCGCTTGCTAAATAGCGAGCAGCCAGTTCAGCTAAATGGGATTTATTGTTGTCGAAGTTCGAGTTTCGATGCGGAAGCAGAGCCTCGTGGCTTCGTCGTGGAAATCTGTGGAAAGCTGACTCCCAAATAACAGCGAAGAATGAGAACTAGTCCAGACAGGTCTGCAGATTTCGGTCTTCTCCCCTGCCCCGTATTATTCCCTGTTGCGACACTCTGACAGAGAAATAGCCTCTGGGTGGCCTCGAGTCCCGCACTAATCAGCAGGAGCTTGGGAGGACAGGTCTGAATCTGAACTGTGGTTTTGAGTTCTGAGTGCACGAGTTGTTTATCTAGTGATTGTCAAACCAAAACAGCTGGTCTGCTCCGTTCCTGACGGACTTCAGAGTCAGACTCGGAGAGAGATCTTTCACTTCTGTGTTTTTTCTGTGGATCTCATGAGTTTTACTGAACGTTTCCACGAGTTCAGTCCCAATCTATTTTAAAGTCAAGATGAGGGGAAAAAAAGGACATTTTGGTGAAATGCCTCATTTAGTTTGCTTTGGGAAAGAAATATTGCACCCAAATATTTAAATTCTCATTTGTTGTTAATAAAATGTTGTTTCTGCTATAGATATTTTTACTTACTTTATTTAATTTGTTCTTTTTATTTTTATTTACTTCATTTGATTTACTAGTCTTTATTTGTTTATTTTATTGTTCATTCTATTTACTTTATGTACTTAATTTAATTTATTTACGTAGTTATTATTTGTTTATTTCTTTTACGTATTGATTTTTATTTATTTATATTTATTGACTTTGTACATTTTTCTTTTTATTTACTGATTTATCATTTACTTGTTTATTTTTATTTATTTAGTTGTTTTATTTATTCGTTATTTTTTATTGCTTGATCTTTATTTATTTATATTTACTGATTTATCATACTTATTTTTATTAACATTTATTTTTCATTATTTTTGTGTACTTATTTATTTATTTTTATTGATTAATTACTTATTATTTATTTATTTTATTTTATTTATTTTTATTTACTGATTTATCATCTACTCCATGTATTGATTGATTTATTTTGTTTATTGAATCGTTATTTTTATTTAATTCTTTAATCTTAATCTTTTTAATCATCCTCTTTTTTCATCTTTGTATTGACTACTAATGTAGTCCATCATGTAGTTACAGAATACTAATGATAATAATCATAATAATGTTTTAATATTAAAATATTATTTTTTTTTTAAATGAAATAGTCTATCATTTATATTTTTACTTATATTTATTATTAATACTTATTAAAAACAAGTAATTTTTTGTTATTTTTATTTTGTTATTTATTTTTATGAAGTTCTTTTTATTTACTTATTTCATAATTTATTTTGGTTCCAGAAATGTTCTATTTCTTCTATAGACAATTTTTTTTTATTGGTTTACTTGTTTATTTTTATTTATATTTTTACAAAAACCAACATGGTCTGTAACGTCATGAAGTCAGTAGTGACCGAATCCTCATTTTTTTGGGTGTACTGTCGCTTTAAGCACTGATTGGTTCTGATTGTTTACAGTATCTGCTCCAGCTTTCCCCAATATTTAGCGGTGTGTTTTGGAAACGGGTCAAAGGTCGAGCGCGGAGAATCTTAATTAGGTTAGTGCCCCTCCCCCGGTCCGTCTGGAGCGGGACGTTATTCCCCTGCTGTCTGGCACAAAGCCGCCCTCTTTAACATGCGCAGAGCCACTTTTGTTGGCCGAGTTCGGCAAACACTGCGGCGCATTGAGGGACGCTTTCCACGCCAGCGGCCCGTTAATCACAGGGCCTCGTTGTCTCCGTTTTTTGCACAGATGGGCAGCCCGACACTGGAGGTGTGAACCGATGGAGGAGGCGATATTGTGATAACATCAAAGCGCTCTTCACAAGCCCAGCGTCCCACACGTTCAGGCAGATTCACTCAAATAAAGAGCTTTGCACTCAGATGAAGATTGTCTGCAGTTATTTGCATCTGAAACTGCTTTTGTATTTATTTTAAAAATTGATCCATTAATTAAAAATACAATTAAAATAATAATAATAATAAAAAATTAATGTTTTAATAATTAGTAATATAATTATTGCATTTTTAATTAGTTTATTGTTGTTTAATTATTATCATTCGTTTCATTTGATCAATTACATAAAATTAAGAGTTATTATTATTATTATTAAAACAATAAGACATGTTTTAAGAAATGTTTTGAATTACATAGTTTATCATTTTTGTTATCTATTACTGTCATTTTATTCTATTTGTATTCTGTTCTATTTTTTGATCAATAATTAGTAATAAAGATATATTTATATAGATATTTACAGAAAGAATCATAAAATATACATTTATCAGGTTTGCAGTTAAATTACTTTATTATTGTCTCGCTTTTGTTAATTATTATTTACAGAATAATAATGATGATTAATTAATAATAATAGTTACATTTAACATTTTTGATTATATTTTTGTTTCTATAATATTGTGTAGCGAGCTATTATATATTTTTTTCTATTATTATTATTAATAATTGATGGCAATACAATTATGATTATGAAGATGATTACAATCATGATAATTATTATTATGCAAAATGTTAATTACAATAATATTATTAATAATTGATGAGGATAAATTAGGAAATTATTCAAATAATAATAATAATACAATAACAATAAATAATAATAATAATAATTATTATTATTATTATGCAACCTGGTAGTCAATAATGTTTTAGTAATTAATAATCAAATTTTTTTATTTTTTGGATTAAATACACAAATAAACACACATTTAAACAAATAAATGCATTTGTGACCCTGGAGCACAAAACCAGTCATAAGGGTCAATTTCTCGAAACGCCATCATGAAAAAAAGCTGAATAAATAAGCTTTCCATTGATGTATGGTTTGTTAGGATAGGACAATATTTGGCTGAGATACAACTATTTGAAAATCTGGAATCTGAGGGTGCAAAAAAATCTAAATATTGAGAAAATCATCTTTAAAGTTGTCCAAATGAAGTTCTTAGCAATGCATATTACTAATCAAAAATTAAGTTTTGATATATTTACAGTAGGAGATGTACAAAATATCTTCATGGAACATGATCTTTACTTAATATCCTAATGATTTTTGGCATAAAAGAAAAATCAATCATTTTGACCCATACAATGTATTGTTGGCTATTGCTACAAATATACCCCAGCGACTTAAGACTGCTTTTGTGCTCCAGGGACACATTTAAGGTTTTTCTTTTTACAAAATGTAAAGATTAGTTTGAATATTTTGTTTGCACATGTGAAAAACAATGCATATCTTGCTTTGTAAAAAGACAAGTTGTGTTTGGTTTGTTAAAGTCATGCATCCTGTTTGGTTTTTCTTTCTCTTGCAGGCATTTGGCAACGCAAAGACGGCCCACAACAACAACTCCAGTCGATTCGGGAAGTTCATCCAGGTCAATTACCTGCCGAGTGGAGTGGTGCGCGGGTGAGTGTGGGGCGAGGAAGCGCTTCGATCAGCTGCTGTCTTCCTCCGCGCTTTACACAGAATGAAGGAACGAGAGAGCTGACACACTTCCTCTCTTATCACAGATCCTTTTCTGTGGTTTATTGTTTGCTCGAGGCAAATTTCACATTTCATCTGAACCGCCAGCGCTCTTGTTTGCTTTATCTGTTTGTAGTCGCCCTCTTTGGCTTCTTTCCATTCACTCGAGCGGTTTAATGTTTACTTGAGGTTTCAGCGAAATGTTTCCCAGGCCAGTTTGGCAACTTGAAAAATAAAACTGAACGAAAAGGTTGCGCAGTAAAAAAAAAAAATTGAAACATCTCCAGATAATGAAGTAATACATCTTGAATGATTGAATAATAACTCGATAAAGGAATAAATTGGATGTTTATAAGTAAATAGGTCATTTTTATAACTAAATACATATGATAAATAAATAACTTATTTATTAAATGTAAAAAAAAAAAAAAAAAAGATTAAATGTATTTATAGTATTATAAGTGTAAAGATTAATAATAAATACATTTAATAAATAAGTGTAAAGATTAATAATAAATACATTTAATAAATAAGTGTAAAGATTAATAATAAATACATTTAATAAATAAGTGTAAAGATTAATGGAATTCAAAGAATATTTCATAAATTAGTACCATGATGTGTAAAAACATTTAATAACTCAAGAAATGTAATATCTAAATAAATGCATTTAATACATATATAGAATAAATAAAAGTAATTTTAATAATGTAAATAATAAATAAATCTAAAGATTAATAGATATACTTAATATATAAAAAATGTAATTTTAAATATAATATAAAATATAATTTAAATATAATATAAATAATGTTTTTGCATGACTTAAATGACAATAATGTTATATATAAATAAATTGAATGTATAACTACGTGTTTAATATGTAAATAAATGTAATGTCTAAACTCAATTTAATAAATACATTTAATAAATCTAAAAAACAGAAATCGGAGACTGTTCACTGAACGACGCTCATCAAGTCAACACTAGACTCTAGGACACGGACTTCTAGCTTTTTGCTTCAAATAAATAACTAATAACAAATAATAAATAAATATATATAAATACATTTAATATCTAAATACATAAATTAAATAAATAATTTAGTAAACAAATGTAAAGATGAATAAACATGTTTAATGTTTAAATAAATGAAACAAAATAATTTATATTACAATGAATATTTTAAGTTCATTTAAATCAGCATAAAAACTTCCATGATTTATAAATAGGTTTAAAATCTAAATAAAGCTAATATATGAATAAATGCACGTTATGAATAAATACATTTAAAAAAAATTATGTAATATGTAAATAAATGTAAAGGTTAATAACTAAAAGCATGCATTTAATATTTAAATACATGTAAATAAATGACTTCTAATAATCTATTATTATTATTATTAATAATAATCTAAATGCGTTTAATATCTAAATAAATAAATCAAAAAATAATTTAATAAATGTTAAGATTATTACATTTGTTTTATATAAATACATTTCAATAAATAAATTATAAAATTAATTAATTAACACGTGTAATATATAAATAAATATTTATTAAAGTATTACAGTGTATATTTTAGGTTCATTTTAATCAGCATAAATGCTAAAAGGATGTATAAATAAATAATAGTAATAAATGCAATATATAAATATTTTTTTGAGAAAAAAACTGTATTACAATGAATATTTAAAATGATTTTAAATCAGCTTAAATTATACCATGATATATAAATGCGTTTAAAATCTAAATAAATCTAATATCTGAATAAATACATTTAATGAATACATAAAAAATAATAATGTATATAAATAAAAATAAATAATGTAATGTATAAATAAATGTAAGAAATACATTTATAAATACATTTTGATGAAAAAATCTCTATTACAATGATTTTTATTTCGCGCATTACAGAAATGACATTGACAGTTCCACAGTATGATGATATACGCTGAAAATGTGCTTGATTGACATGAAAATGTTTATGTGTGAGTCATTAAAATATCCCTGGCTAATAAAGTAAATATTGTTTATATTACAAAATATCATTGCAAAGTATGTAAACATTACAAAGTTTGTAAACTTGCAGTCCATCCCAGAACTGGTTGGTTTCGTTCTCTCTTAAATGCCGGTACAGAAAGTGAATGACGGGCTCTGCTGAGGGTTTTCTTTCTTCAGGCCAAATTCCCCTCCCACTGACACCTGTGCGCTTTGAAGCAGAGACTGATGCTTGTCGTGTTTGTGGCTGTCTTTCAGGGCCGTGGTTGAGAAATATCTGCTGGAAAAGTCCCGTCTGGTGTCCAGAGAGAAGAACGAGAGGTACGACTTTCAAACGTCTCTTCTGTGCATCAGAAACCAGGCTTCGCCTCCTTCAGTAGCTTCAGTGTCATTATCTGCCTTTTATTAGCAATGTGAAGTGGAGCTAACTAGTTTTTCAAAGCGCTAGCTTGACTGTGGTTTACTTTAAATCATGAGTAGCGTGTAGCTTTTTCAAACTCAGTAACTCATGGTTCTTTCCTCCTCCTAAGGATTAGTTCACCCAAAAATTAAAATTAGGCTGTGTGTTACTCACCCCAGAGGCATCCTAGGTGTATACGACTTTCTTCTTTCAGACGAATCCAGTTATATAAAAAATTGTATTTGATCTTTCAAGCTGTTTAATGGCAGTCAGCGGGTGTTGCAGTGCATCAGTCCAAAAGAAGTTAAATAAAGCACATCCATCCATAATAAAAAGTGTCTCACACGGCTCCGGGGGGTGAACAAAGGCCTCCTGTAGCGAATCGATGCAATTTGTAAGAAAAATATCCATATTCTAACCATAATAATCACATTAATCTAGCTTGCGCTCACTGTTCAAATAGTTGTATCTCGGCCAAATATTGTCCTATCCTAACAAACCATACATCAATGGAAAGCTTTATTCAGCTTTCAGATGATGTATAAATCTCAATTTCAAAAGATTTACCCTTATGACTGGTTTTGTGGTCCAGGGTCACATATTAGAATAGCTTATATGTCAAAAACAGCCTTGGAAATTGCAACGGCTTTCCATTTTTGGTTTACGCTTGCAGGAAAACTTTACGATAGAAGATGCAGACGACCTTCGGCACGACTTCGAGCGACTGCAGCAGGCAATGGAGATGGTGGGCTTCCTGCCGGCCACCAAGAGACAGTGAGTCAAGCTCTCAGGACAGATGTCTTCAGACGGGTTGTGTTGATGTTCAGAGCAAGGGAATGAAGTATCTGAGACTGTCGGCTGTTTATCCTCGTAGGATATTTTCCGTCCTGTCGGCCATCTTGTATCTGGGAAACGTGACGTACAGTCAGAAGTCGTCCGGCAGAGAGGAAGGTCTGGAGGTGGGGCCGCCAGAGGTGCTTTCCACACTCTCAGACCTGCTTAAGGTGAGTGCATTTCTCAAACTTTCCGTCAGGGACGGGATTTCTACTCGTTCATGCAGATTTTGGTGTTTTCCGAGCTGAAGTGCGAGTTTTCAAATACATTAAAAATACATTTTGTAATAGGAATAGAATATGGTTGAATAAAAGCTTGATAGTTTAACATTTGAAAGCAAAGAAATATTGGCATTGTAATTTTACAGTTCTGTAAAATAATTATTTTATAAAATTATTATTATTATGAATATTTTACAGTACAATAATATTTCAATAGTAGTACATTTCTTTATTGATTTGTTTAATTTGTATAATTTAAGTAAAATAAAAATATTAATAAATAAAATGTTATTTTGAATAATAATAAAATAAGTATATATATAACTTCGACATCAACTTCGGTCAGAAATCTTGGTGTAACCTTTGATGACCAGCTGACCTTCAAAGACCACATTGCAAAGACCGCTCGATCTTGCAGGTTTGCATTGCACAACATCAGAAAGATCAGGCCCTTTCTAACAGAGCATGCTGCACAACTTCTTGTCCAGGCCCTTGTCATCTCTAGGCTGGACTACTGCAATGCTCTTCTGGCTGGACTTCCATCAAGCACAATCAAACCTCTACAAATGATTCAGAATGCAGCGGTACGAC